CGTGGCTGGCCACGCTGGAGTGTGCTTTATTTTTACACACAAATACGAGGAATACCGCCAAAAGGAGGAGAACGAGAACCCGGAGCAGCAGTAACATACAAAAAAAAAAAATGGAATACGACGAGTATTTAAATGCCCACCTCAGCTACTAATTATTACCAAGAAAAACTCTTGAAATTGACGTTTCATTTTGTGCGGCGGGGCACGTCAACACCAAGAGAGTGTGTGGCAAGCGGAGCGAAAGGGGAAAAAGAGACAGAGAGAGAGAGAGAGAGAGAGAGATCGCACTCCAGACTGCAACTCGATGGATTCTCCTGCGTCTGTTTTCACTCAACAAAAGGGGTACCCGCGGTCGGTTGAGGTCCAACCTCAACTCCAACACCAAGTCCAAGTCAATGTCGAGTCGAAGAGTCGTCGTGATTATGCACAACCCGAAACGATCGAACTGCACCGCGTCTGCTCCAACAGATTAACGCACTCCAGAAATTATAAAAAAATAATATTTTTCTTAGAACTGATACCATTTTAAGCGAATTGGTACTCGGCGCAGAGTCAACAAAATGAAGAAGTTCCACGATCATCCGCGGCCTGAGAAAATGTCTCGGAACCCCAGAACACAGAACAGTGAAGAGTGGAGAGAGGAGAGAGGTAGGTAACACGATCGCCAGCGATGTGGAGGCAGACGGCATTGCGTCAAGTGGCAGCATCGGCGAGTCGACTTGTCTGCCACAAGTCTGCTCCACTGCCATCGACTGCTCTGACGCGCGATCGGGGGCCCTGGAACTGGAATTTGCTCTGCGACTTGTGCTCTGTGTCTTGGATCGCTTTTGGTTCCCAGGCAACCACCGCATGGGTTGGGGGAACTGCCAATCGGGCCGCAGCTACTCCAACGACCAGCTCCAATGACGCTTGCACATTTTGACCGAGTCCGAGTCCCAGGCCGCGCTTCATTCAGAGCCGACTCTGACTCTCTATCGAGACATTGTTCACTTGGACGCGTCGACACTTGAGTAAATTAGTTTCGTAGAACTTGTGGGCACTGACCATTCTTATGGGATTGGAAATGGCCACACGGGGGAAGAAAAAGAAAACCCTATCAAGAAAACGATTCCAAGATTTCAATGCTAGTTTCGATTAAAAAAGGGCTCAACTAAATCCACAACTAATGCCTGACCTAACATAATGATCCAAAAAGATTTCTATGTCAAGTGATTTGCGTACAGCAAAGAGAGTAAAAACTACGGAACTCTTTCATATATATATATATATATTGCTGATGCATTTTGGAATCGAAAATACTATTCCCTTCGAACGAATGAACACTTTTTCAGCTCTGAAATTCATTCATTTCTGCTTCGGGGTTGCAAATTTATTCACACAGAAACGTGTAATTGCCCAGACACAAAACACAGTCGAGGCACACATACTCATGCAAACACAAGCACTCACACACTCACTTGCACACTCATTTACACACACACACACACACAGCATCACTCACTCACACGAAGACGAAATTGGCAGCACAAAAAGTTCTCTTCGCAAAGTTACCGAGGAGGAGAAGGAGAACCCACACCGACCGTCGCGACGGCTTCGTGGCTCAGGAAGGTCCTAGCTGTTGTTCAGTAGGCGAGCTTGTGGGTGAGTGTGAGTGGGCGTGGTAGTGGCAGCCACTGCTAGTGGCATGGAAAATTAACAATTTTTCAATTAAAATCAATACCGAGTGTGTACTTGTAGTCGGGTAGTGCTTTTGCGTTCCCTCTTTCGGTTCGTGGTTCGAGCTTCGGTTTTGGGTTTTTGCTTTTATTTTGGGCCCCAAATAGCAAGCAAGCAAACGGGTGCGAAAGTGTCTGAGTGTGTGTGTGTGTGTGGGTTGTGGCTTTGGGAGGTGTCAAGGGTAATCTGCATGTGTGTGTGTGTGTGTGTTGTGCACATTTCATGAAAATAGCTTAAGTGCCTGAAAATATGCAACGCATTCGATGCTGACGACGAGGACGACAAGCGAACTTTGGCTTACTCTTAGTGCTCGGTGCCTGTGTGTGTGTGTGTGTGTGTCTCTCTGTGTATGTGTCACTGTCTGTATGTATGCGTGTCATTGTGTGTGCGGTTGTTCTGTTGTTAGTTGTTGGGCGCCGTATTTGCCAGCCAAAAGCAAAATTTCCTAAGCCCTTTTTTTACTCAAACTTAACTTGGACTCACGCACACAGCCACAGCCACATACACTGGTAAATAGTGCCGTTAGTTTCAATGACACTTGCAGGCCACGCACATGTACATTCACACTTACTTACGCACATGAATGTGTGTGTGTGTGTGTAGGTCCTTGCCGTTATTCCTTTGCATCTTTCGCTTCGAGTTCGTTCTTCTTTTGCATCGTTTTGCGGTTGTTTGGGTCTTTTTCGAGTATTTTGTGGCTGTCTAACTGTTGAGTCCTGCTGTCCTGCCCCACTGTGCAGCTGTCAGCTGTGTGTGTGTGTGTGTGTGTGTGTTCGAGAGAGAGAGAGCAAGGGACTTACTCCATTTGTGGGCACCGCAAACAACGTTAAATGCAAATTTACGCTCTTCTCTTTGCACCCCCAAGCTCTCGTTCTATCTCTGGTCTGGTCTACAACTAACATGCCCCATGCCACTCAAACACCCCTCTCCCACCGCCATGACCCTCATCAGCTGTACACACAAAATGGCCGTACTTTGGCGCCATTGCCTCAGCCAGTTGTGCGTCTCCTGCTCCTTGTTGCTGCTGCTGCTGCTGCTCTTGATGACTATTGCCGTTATTGCCCCAGCCAACCAGACATAGACAGAGACAGAGAGATGGCCACAAGCAGTGGAAATGAAAGTGGAAATGGAAATGGAAGTGGAAGTGGTAGTGGTAGTGCCCACGCTCTCTCTTTCCCACTCTCTGGCCAAAATTGAAGTGTTAGTAGTAATGCTACTAATTGGACTCGCTTTTAGCAACGCTTCATGGGCCTCCAAGCAAGCCAAAGGCAAAAAGCTCCTTCAAAGTGCCCACTCAGAATGCTCTACACACACACACACACAAACACACACGACTCTGTTTGTGTGTGGTGGTGTACTACTCTCCAAAGTCTATAATTGGAAAATTTTACACACTCGAAATTCAATTTCCACTGCGACTGCAACAGCAACTGCGACTGCGACTGCGAGAGGCAACAAAACCATTTGCCGAATGCCAGTTGGCATCGTGGAAAGTGTGGCACGGCGCGGGTGCGGGTGCGGGTGCGGGATATCTGGATGCCTGGTTGCCTGGCTGGTGCTTAGCTGGGGCTTAGTGGGTTAATTGCATACATATGCGTAGCTACACATGCATGTACCCACTGATGTACAGTTGTGTGCTCTTACGAGATGTTTTAATTAGCGGAGATGACAGACAGATGGTGAAAGGAAATCCGATTACTACGAGAGCCAAAGCCAAGTAAATGGATTCCTTTAGAACAAACATGGAGCTAGTACGTACTCCATCTAATCGATACGTTTGTGTATTAATTAGTTATATGTAGGTGTTAATTCTTCGGAAAAGAAAACAAAAATTCAATATCGAACATTTTGATAAAATTCCGATACTTAATCGATCGATTGGTGCAATTTCCATCGCCACAGCCGCAGGCTCTGCCTGTGCTATACCCAGATATACATATATGTATATACTTTTCGGTTGGTTTGTGTGAGTAAGTGCCTGGGCACTCGAGGCAGAGCTTGCCATTAGCATAAAGACTCATACTCACACCGCAGCGCAGCGCACCTCCTTCCAAGTCTAGTCCATAGCCTCTTGCCGATGCCTATCCGATTGCGAGCCCGTTCGACGTTCGACCCAGACTCCGTGGCTCTGAGGCTCTGTGGCTTTGAGTGGGCCACTCGAGGCGCGGGTAAAAGGGCAAAATCCGCGCAGGGCAGGGCACTGAAATTGCGCCATAATTACGCGAGTTTTGTCGCTTTTTTTCTTCGATTTTGTTCGTCGGCTGCTAATCAAACATGGACAGGGGTAGAGCAGTTTTTGGTGTACTTTTTAAGGGTGGCAATTTGCCAACGTTGAAGTTCACTCAATAAAACGCACACACACACACACACAGATACCCGATGCTCCATCTCGCTCTGCGGACCGTCTCTTTCTCTCTCTCTTACTCACACTCACTGGCGTTTGGGGTATCGGGACTTAGAACAATAACGGCCATTAAAATGCTTAATTATAAATTCGCAAACGTAGCTGAAAATATTCTTCTTTTTTTTTTTACACCATAGCTCTCGGTCTCTCTTTCGCTCATTGTTTCTCTATCTCTCTCACGCTCTCTTTCTCTGTTGGCGTCGCCTGGCTGGCCTGCCCAGCGGGAGCGAGGCCGGCAGAGCTGACATTTACGAGGCGGACTGAGTTAAATGATTTCCGGATTTTGCGTTGTTCGCAATGCTGTGGACATGTTCCTTAAAGCATGCCAACTATGCGAGCAAAGGAAGAGCAAGAGCAAGAGAGAGAGAGAGAGAGAGGCGGGCAAGAGACTGAAAGAGATGGGGAGCAAAAGCGCTTCGAGGAGGCTGCACTTGAGACACTCCTGCTCCACTGCCGCTGATTGCTTATTAAAAATGGTTAGCCATGATGCCATGATGACGCTGCACACACATACACGCAGAAGCGGCCGGAGGTGTGAAAAATCAGAGCAGAGAAATCCAAACAACACGATGATGAGACCCTGAGATGATGACAAAAGAGCTTCTACAGCTCAGCAGTGTTTCGAAAGAGAGGAAATGCAAATTCTTTGGACGCGTTTGTGTTTTGCCAACAGCCAACACCAGCCAGTCAGTCAGCCAGCCAGCCAGCTCCACATTACTCGCATCTCAGCGGATGTAATTAGTTCGTTAATTCATTAGGAAGCCCATTAATAGCAGCAGTGCTGCTTCTGTCGCTCCTGCTGCTGCTATACAGACAAAGCCCACACAGTACAAAGTACAGGGAACAATGCCCCGCGTATCGGGTTACCTGTCTGACTCACCTGTATGCGATCCTCGGGCAGCTCCGTCTTCAGCGAGAGCATCTCGCGGGCATACACGTCCGGGTAGTGGGCCTCCTTGAAGGCCTCCTCCAGCTTCTCCAGCTGATAGCTGGTGAAGATCGTGCGGCTGTGCCTGCGCTTTTTCTTTTTCTTCTTGCTATTCGGCCCAACGCCAAAACCATTCATGCCCTCCATGCCAAAGTCCTTGGGTGCCAAAGAGCCTGAAATAAAATACAGATCGTACATAAGTTCTACTTGCTTTAAATCTTTGGCAAGTAGTTTTTTCTTTCATTCACGCAATGCCATTTGAAGTTGAATAAACTCATGAATCGAGACACAGCATTTCCGCATACATGCCCCATGCCCCTGCAACTATTTCCAGCGTCTTCCCTCTCCAATATTCTTGTCAAATTAGTTGACGAGGCTCCCATGACCCCCGGACACATGTGGCAGTCGGCGCTGAAGCGCGGCTCTAAGTGGTTTTTTCTCTGTTGTTTTAAATATTTAATAATTGTATCTAGTTTCCCACTTGTCGGCAATTGTTCGCTTTGTTGTTTTTGTTGCTGCTGTTGGGGATTGTCACACATCATCTTTGGTTCCAAGGAAAACCCCACTTGACATCCAAATGTAAAAGTGAAAGCGGCCAAAGGAAGCGATTGGGATTGGGAGATGACAGGCGCGGTAGCTGCGTTGACAGGGGTTTTATGTCTGACAGTCAGAGGATTACGAGCATACAAAAATGTATAAAGTTGAGGCTGGCATTGCGATCCTTGCGACTGGCAACCCGACGAGTCGGCCACTTCTACCCCAGTGCCAAATTGCAAATCGCCACTTAGCGGCGATCGAGGTTTGAAGATGCCTCAGCCTGAATGCTGAATGCCTGCCAAAGATGCGTTTGCGTTTAGGCCAAATAAAACGCTGAAGCACCCGGAACACACACAAATCACACGGTGCAAAACGGTGTAAACGGTGCAGATGGAGTGCCACGTCTGGGACTCGGTCTGGCTCGGGTTCGGGCCACTCTTCAGGAGTTAGTCAGGAGGCAGGAGACAGGCTTTTTTATTTTGGAAAGTATAGAAAACAAAACACAAACACAGAGAGAGAGAGAGAGAGAGAGAGGTAGGGCAGACCTCGAACAAATCCAATTCGCATTGAAATTCGATATGAAAAATGAAGTAGAGGCATGTTGTTGCTGTCGAGTTGTTCAAGTGAAGCGCTGACGGGTAGTCCTCAGTCCTCATCCACTGAATCATCTCCTCTCCATCCACAAAATACACAAAATGTGGATGCGGCTGGTGGATGCTGCTGGTGGATGGAGAACGCTATGGGCATGGGCATGGGCATGGGCATGGGCATGGGCATGGGCATGGGCATAGTTATGGATGAATGGTGCATAGGCATATCGATGCCGACTTGATTTCCACTAAATACTCTCGAATGCGCGAAAATGGTTAGCAAAGGCCAACAATCGCATCTTAAATTACGCTCCAATGCATTGCAGCAAGAGAATAAAACACACACACAAATCCGCATGTAATTATTTACGTATTCGGTGGAAAAACGTCAAAAAAAGAGGAAGGATGGAGTGAGTGATTCCCGCAATTAGCGCAGAAAAAGAGAGAACTCGAAAGAACTGTGTATTTGAGTGTTTATTTTATCAGTTTAATATTGATGCAGCTGATTGGTATCAGCGCTAGTTTCATGATCATGATTTAGGCTTATTCTTAACCCGCACAAGTTGTTTTCTTTAAAGTAACTAGTTAGAATTGATAATTTGTTCGCCCGCTGCCAATCCGTTACCAACCCTTACTATTCCGACTGGCAGAGAGGAGCTGCTCAAAACTAATTAACAATTATGTTTATCATAAACAAATGTAGAAATTAGTTAATTTCGGGCTCACAAAAGTAGGCAACGGCAAAATTTGTGGCACTGCCATCGCACTTTTAATGAGCTCACACAGATACGCACACACACACACACACACACACACACTTGGTGGAGGTGGAGCTTTATTTGAAAGTTTCGCCCCGCATCGCAGCATGCCAACATGCCTGCCAACACCCACACACACACACATGCATCACAACATATTAGCAATTAAAATTTTCTTAGTTAATTACTTTAAGCAGACGACGACGCAGTCGACGCCGACAAGGACGACGACAACTGCGTCAGCACGAAAAATTCAAAAAGCAAACAAGAACGAAAATGTGCGGCCTGTGTGTGCCGAAGCTTCAGATACGCTTCCAAATCTAATGATAATGCAAATGTGGATTGACTGTTTTTTAGCTGTTTGCATGTGGAATTTTTCGATATTTGTACTTGTCTTATATATCCGTGAATCGTTGCTATATTCAAGCCACTAGAGTTTTGGATAATTTGCAATATCATTGAAATATATCTGAAACATTTCCTTGTGCAAAGAATTCATAGAACCCTCTGCAGAAGAGCGTGCACAAAATGTGGCTGCAAAATGAAAGGCGACAACAGAGCGCGCTCCTCACTCTTTCTATCCTTGTACAAAAGGAAAGCTTTCCCCACACACCGCACCCTCTCTCTGCTTCCCCTGCCGAGTGAATTTTATGAAATTTATGCGCATTTCACTAGAAAATTTAATTAGGAAATCTAATTTGCTCAAAAGCGCATAAAAAATGTTGTCGCTCTGGGCTCCGCTCCACCATGCCCCACGCTTCTCTCTGACACTCTTCTTCGCTCTGACACTCTGTCTCACTCTAGCTTTGCTTTCCGCTCGTTCCGTGTCGTTTCTTGTGCCCCGCTGCCAGCTCCTTGACTTGTTCATTTTGTAAGCTGCGCGCCATTTTTGTTAGCTAGCCGCAGTCTCCACATGGCTCCACATCCCCAAACTCATCTCCATAGCCATCGTCAACCTCTAGTTGGTCCCATTCCTAAGCTCCCCACTCCCCTTACCCCCGCTTCCATACTCCCCTTGCTATGCATCAAGTAACCAACAAAATGACTAATTCCTCGCCCATGTGCTGTGTGCTGTGTGCTAGTGTGTCTGCAGCAGTGTGTATGATGGCAGTGCGGCACTGTGGCCACACATTGAGTGTGTGTGTGTGTGTGTGTGTGTGTTAGGGGTATGTGTGTGTATGAGTGTGTGCCGCATAAACAGTTGCATGGCAAAATACGCTAATAAAGTGGCTGAGTTGTTGGCAACGCGACGAGGCATCGTCTCGGCAACGTCGCAGTCAGCTTCTGCGTCAGAATTGACGTTGGCGCTTGCGTTGGCGTTGCGGCAACGTCATCGTCATCGTCGGTGGTATCGTTGAGGGGCATTTGCAATTTGCATTAGCACCAAAGTGGCTGCGTTTTTGTATGTGCATGTGTTGGTGTTGGTGTGGGTGTGTGGCATGCCCCTGTCCCTGCCCCTGCCCCTGCCCCTGTCCCGACCCAACTGGCATCTATGTATTTTTGCTTATTTTTGTGTGTGCTTTTTTCGTACTAATTAGAAATTAAATTGAATTATTTGCTTGAGGAATCAAACAGAAAATAGAAAACGCAGAAAATAATTCGTACAGGGGGGGGAAAAAACGCGGGGAGCAACGGAATGGGCGGAGGAACACAGCAAGTGGGGACAGTAAATGCTTCAATTAATAGCTTTGATTGATGTCTGACAGAGAACGCTCTTCCCTCCCCAACGAAACTTTATTTAAACACATGCCAAAAAAGGGCACTTGGACACCTAATAAGTGGCAGAGTAAATAAAGATCGTAGGGGTAAAAATATGACATATTCCAGGAGTTATATTATTCCCACACTCAGCTTTCTATACGTTTGGTCGTCCTTTCACTGCACAATTTGGCGGCGCATCCTGTTTAAAATAAATCATTAATTTATGGGTGGAAACATAAATTAAAGTATTTCTGAGTCGCTCTGTTTGAATATTCCTTGACAGTTTTATTCCTTGCTTAACGATTCCTTTTAGTGGTTCCACTTTCCCTGATGCTTCATTCGGTCGGTCGGTTGGTCGGTTGGGCAGTCTGTCAGTCGGATTGTCTGTGGATGTCCTTCAAGCGACTTCGTCTGGAATTTATTCACGAAATTCGCTTTGACAACGGGTCTCCGACATTGTCCAGCGTTTGTTCCTGTCTAATTGCTCTTGTCTGTCTCGCTCTCTAGCTTTCGCTTTCTCTGTCTCTGTCTCGGTGTCTGTCTTCTTCTCTCTTTGGCAGGACAGCCTTCAGTCCCTCTGTCCTCCCTCAATCTACCCATGGCCCCCACGTTCCCTCCGCTCGTTCCGCTCCTGTTGGCCGTAATTTGCGCACTCAATGGAAAATTGTTAATTAGATTCCTTGCTTGTCGTGTGACTTCGTCTTCTACTGCTGCCCCTGCCCCTGCCACTGCCCCATCTCAATCGAGTCCATTGTTATGCTGCCACACTACCACGACCCCCATACCGTCACCTGGTGGCCTAATGCCCCCCCCCCCCCCCCCCCCCCCTCTCTGGGTACAGCATTTTAGTCAGCTTTGTGTCAAAGTTGGTTAACGTGATTGCTGTTGCCATATTGCCCGGGCCCCCGCCACGGTAGCGACCACCACCGCATAACCCTTTCTCTCTGTCGCCCACACTCTCTCCCCATTCCAGCTCTTTTTTAGCCAACTTCGCACCCACTTTAGGCCACCTTTCCGCTTCACCGACCCAAGCGAACTCAACGAACTTTAAGTGCAAAGCGCTTTGCGCCAACAGCAAACAAAACGAAAGCTGCATCAGCAACCAAAACAACAACAACAACTTCAACAAAGATAGCAACAACAACAACAACTGCAATGATGACAACAACAACAAGAAAAGCAACAAGAGCGTCGCAATTTTTGCACTAAACTTTTTGCTCTTTCACTTTTTGTGGGCCCTCTTTGTGGGTGCAATCTCGACGCGGTAACGATGTGCAGGAAATAACATGGGAAAGAAATAGAGACACAAAGTCACAGAGGGAGAGAGAGAGAGAGAGAGAGCACAGGCGAAGAGGAGAGAGCCATGCAGAGGTGGAGATTGATCATTGAATGGAACTCTCCTGGAACTCGATCAACCACTTGGAGTGGAGTGAAGGCGTGGAGCCATTGGGCTTCCGTCTAGTAACACATTAATTTTAGTTTTTCCACATATATTTTCTATTTATTCCTTACAACACGATTCCTGTGTCTTATTCTCGATTCCATTCTGGTTAATTCATTCATCATTTAGCATTCATTTTGGGCATTCCTTTAGTTTTGTGTGGCTGAAAACAGTGACAACTCCATCAACGGATCATATTTCTGTTGCTGATTCTTTCCTCGAATTCATTCTCCGTTTTGGCGGACAGGTTGTCCGTCCATCCACATCCACCCTTGCCATCCTTTGGCCACCCCTGCACTGGCGTTGACATATTCACATTCAGTCAACGGGTGCGATGTGAATCGCGATTGGTTTCGCTTCACACATGTCATCTTCATGCGAGTGAGTGGATGATTCGAATGCCGATATACCCTCGCAGAGGGTATTGTGATTTTAAAAAGAACGTCTTTTCTTTATACAATTCTTTTATTCTTTAAAAAATAATTTAATAATCATAATCAGAGCACAATCGGAGGATCATTTCATCAAAACAGACCATGTGCAAGGGTATACAAAAAACATCATCCTCAGTGCTGGCTTTCATTGGATGTTTGTGTGTTTTTTTCGTGTCTTACGTGTTTCAATTAGGATCAGGGTGGGAGAGCGGGGACGCTGCCATTGCATTCGCCATGGCCAGCAAATAAAACTTAGACACGCTCGGGAAGGATTCGTGGCGCAATGGAAAAAAAGGGGAAAAAAAATGCCAATTAAAATCTTAGCCATGACAAGTGCATCACGATGGGCCGACACAAGTGCAGCAGGCAGCAGACTCCGGGAGAATGTCATGTGGGTGGCTGGTGGCTCTCTGGCACCCACACCCTCTGCTGCACTTTGGCCCCGACTCTGGGACACTCCCACTGGCCCGAGCATCCACTCGGAGCCACCATTCAAGGCAAATTGCCCTACTTGTCAGTCTCGGCTCATTCTGTTCTGTTCTGTTCTGTTCTGTTCGCCGTCGTAGTCTTGGCCTTTGTGTAATCTTGTCTTGCAATCTGCTCTCAGCAAATGGCTCAAAAGTGGCTCTCCCAACGTGCCTGCCACCAGCCACCAGCCACCAGTAAGGCAGGCCAGGCCCTTCATCATCATCTTCATCTCCATCTTCATCTTCATCTAATGTTGTTGCTGGTGGCTCTCGCTCTGCCGTTGAGTTGCCTCAAGTTCCCGACTCTGGAAGAATGCAGGCGTCGAGTGGCTCTGCTACTAAAGGAAGACTTAAGCAGGGCACTTCGCCCCATAAAAACAGAATATAAAGAATGCGCGGCCAAGTGGCCAAGTTCGTGTTCCCCCCGCTCTGCACTCGCATTGCCACTGGCTGGCCCCAGTCAGAGATTAGAGCCTTGTAAGGGCCTACCTACTACTAAAAACAACAGCAGCAGCAACAGCCACAACATCAACAAAAAGGCAATTAAGTAGGAAAGACAATACGAGTGCCACCACAGCAACAAGATGAAAAGGGAAATGCTGAGGAAATGTCGAAAGTGGTTAAGGATAAAGATGTATTGGAAATGTTAATATGCATTCAAATAACATTCTCTATTACAATTAATTAAATTCATGAATTCATAATCAATTAACAAGTGAAAACTAATCCATTTAAATACTTTTTGGCTAATATTTCTTCGTTAATTGAAAAGTTTTGCTGTTTAATTTGTTGTAAACAAGTCGAGTGGCGCTTTCCCGGTTGATTTTAATGGAAATATAATAGTTTCTCGCCTCAATTTTAGGGTATTCAATCAGCAGACGTTCTTCTCATTCGCTCGACAGACATTTAGATTTATTGGCACACTCATTGGTGGCCCGTTCCACACACACTGCTCCACCACTGCACACACCTTTTGAAAATCTCCAGAATCCCGAATCCAGACTGCCGAATCCACAATCCCAAATCCATCCATCCATCCATCCATCCCCCTTGCCACGATTGCCAGAGCGTTTCTTATTAGACAAGTTTATGTGAGCGCTTCGCATTTCTTTCGCTTTGTTTTTGGCTTGTGCTCGCTTCTGTGTGCGAGTGTGCGTGTGTGTGTGTGTGTCGAAAGGGTTAAAGCAAACGGAGGACAGGACATGTGTCCTGCGGACCAGCAGCAGCAGCAGCAGCAACAGCAGCAGCATGTGTGTATGCGGAGATGTATGCGCGTGCAAATTGCGTATAAAAGCGTATGTTGAAAATATTTATTGCCCGTTGCGAATGCAACAAAATGAAAATGAAATTTCATTATTTGACTTTTGTCTCTCGCTCTGTGTCTCTCTCTGGCTCTTGCCACATGTGTGTGGATTTTTTTGTCTGCTTTTTTGTTAGCTAAATTGTTTATTTTATTAGCAATTTGGGAAATTTATGGGCCTGCCATGCGAAAACCCTTTCCTCATGACTCCTGGCCACGCCCTCGCCCCCGCCTCAGGGGCAACCGCTTCGAAATTAAGCGCAGGAATGCCCATTAATTAGGGTAGACACCGAGGAGGAGGCACAAAAAGAGACAGATACACATGCATATACATACATGTGTGGAGAAAGAGTAGTGCTGCCCTCTGTTGGTCGGGGTACATGCGAGGTCCTTGGTTTGGTCAGCGAATAAGCTTTTGTCCCCTGCCAGGACTGCATTATGGTCTGCGCATTGCCTACCTTTAGGGGTTCCACTTAATTTCTACCCTGCCTAAAGTCCCTACCACACATTCCTCTTCCTCTGACTCTTCGCTTACCTGGCAAACATGTTCCAGCTCCCGCCGCAAAGTTCTTCAGCTGCGGAAACCCTAAAGGAGAGAAAGAAACTTTGAGTATCCGTATGAGCTCTTACATTTGATTCAATTAAAATAATTGTATGACTTTAAAAGCTTGAAACTATTTTTATTTCTATAAGAAATATTTGTATTATCATTTTGGTTCCTCTATGGCTTGAAATGGGCCTTCACTGAGAGTGTGCACTGTGCGCTGTGCAAGGGCGACTGGTGATTGTGATTTTCTCAGCATTTATTAGCCATACAAAGGCCCACGCCCGCACATAAGAACAGACAAACACAACTGTAGAGGGGGGGCTAAGGAGAAGATCGAGAGCCCCTCCCTGGAGCATCGAATAATCGTTTGTCGTTCACTTATCGTGCATATGGGCAGACACTCAGAAATGCAAATCGATGTCAAGACCAGCGCTCCTCGCTGCCACCCTGCCGCTGCCGCTGCCGCTGCCCCAGCCTCTTTCCGGGGAGTGACATATCAAAGCAAAATCAAATTTGACAGACAACCGCGCTAATTTCTGGTCGATGTTTCATTGTTTCAAGGCGTTCGCTCCGTCTCGTTTCGGCTCCGTTCGGTTTCGGTTCAGTTTTGTGTCGAGGTCTCGGTCTGGGCTCTGGGCTCTGGGCTCTGGTCTTTGTGTGTGCCGTGCCTCAGCGGCTGAGCCGCGAAAGGGGTTGTCCATGCCCTGGCATTTCCCTCAATTGTTTTACGGTGACGCATTTCGAGAAACGATGCCAAGTACAATGGGACCAGCTCGAGCTCCAGCACCAGCAGCAGAAGCAGTGGCAGAAAGAGAGGCAGAGGCAGGGCAACCGCTTTAGCTCGAGTCGCTGTCGGACATGTGTATGATGATGATGATGGCTATGCTCGTAATAATGTTGATGATGAGGTTAAGGAACGTCTACAATCAAACTACATTTATTAGCTTATGGTTCGGGGATCGGCTCGGCACAATCGCAGCAGCTTTACCAGGAATTCCAATTACGATTTCTTTTGCTTTTGCTTTTGCGTTTGAGTTCCGAGTTCATGAAATCCGATATTGCGCAAAACTTCTCTAAAGAATTGCGAGGAACAAACAAAAACTACAGCAAAGGGAAAAAAAATGCAAGTGACGAAGTAATTATAAACTGATTAACGCCAAACAATAGCTGATATGGGTCGAACGGCCTGCGTTTGGGCTTCTGCTCTTGGGGATCGCCGAGGCAGAGCCAGGGAGCATTTCAATTGAATTTAGAGCAAGTTTCTAACCATCGACTGGAGATTGGAGATGGGAGATGGGAGAGTGGAAAGTGGGGACCATGAACCATAGATGTGCCCCCACCCAGACCACACAGAGCGTATTGGGTCGTGAGCTCCCGCCGGATCCGGACAACCTCTCCGGACAGCTCCCAATTGCCTCGGGCCGGTCGCATGCAAAGTAGCCGCTTCAGTGTCCAGCGAATGAGTCTCAAAGTGCTTCTCGCGGCAAACGGATGACGGGGCTGCGGGGAAAGCCTCCAACAAGTTGTTCAATGATATTCAAATGCGAACCGAAGAGCTTGAATTCAGCATCGGGTAAGTGAAGTGTCTCTTTCGGCACAAATGCGAGCTTGGAAAGCCTCAATGAATGGGAATACATGTTTGCGAGAACATACCACGGACAAATGCCTACGAGTATCTGTACATAAAGGCCTTCAGGTCATTGTGTGGAAAGGGCATCTTCATTTGCCTTAATCTGTTTATTTTTGTAAGTTTTTAAGCATTTTGATTAAATCTTTAAATGATCCATCAGTCTCTAGTGCAACTTAAAATCAAAAACAAAACGGGAAGGTCGATTTATCCACCAATTTGTATTTATTAATCACAATACTTGACTCGAGACGAGCTGGGTCTCAGACGACAAGCGGTGCGCGGTGGTTCCATATTCCATATTCCATTTTCCATAAAAGTCTCTAATTCTTCCAATTTGATGGACTGATGCACTTTTTTCCTTAGTTTCTTTCTTTAAATTTCGTAAATTTATATGCAATCTTCAGATAGATGAGATTAAAAGCTAATTGTATGATTAATTTTGTTGCATAGCAATTTCGAACTATGTACCGTATGGTACATAAATATATGTACTCCATTCCCCTATCATCGAATTTCATGGGATCAGGTGTACCAGTTGGATTTTTTGTTCGTTTGCTCTGCCCATAAATGAAACAATTTACAGCCAAAAAAGAAATAGAGAAAAAACTGCTGAGTAGCCACTCCAAATAGCCAGATAGATGGCCAGTACTGCATAATTAGCAGTCGCGCCGTCGCTCTAGTCATTGTCGCTCCAGACAGTGAAAGCAGCTGATGGCCGAAATGGACTGAGAATAGTCAATTCCAACTCAAAACTTAGACTCCAGGCACTAACTCCCAATACGAAAGGCCGTTTCGAGCCGCTGAAGAAGCAGGCAGAAGGCAGCCGAGGAAACTCAAGTGCCAAATCGTGTTTATTTGCGTTATAAAATTAGCGCAGCGGCGCTCAAGTGTAGCCTCTGCGACTGTATCTCTTCGCGTGAGTGTGTCACTGTGGGGCCAGTGGCGTTGGAGGGGGACAAAAGAGCAACCGTCGATTGACGAAAGAAATCAGAAAGCAAAAGCAGAGCAGGATATAACCGAACTCGTCTAAAATTTAGAAATGAATATGAATATGAAGCAGCCAACGAAACTCCTTATCCCCCTTTGCAAAGCTTTCATTCTCCGACTCTACGCCTCTGTCCCAAGTGTTTGGTGTGCAGTTTGTGGAGCGCTGAGCTTTTCGGAGCACGGAATATTGCCCGTCTCTGATTGCCATGTGACGCGGCACAAAATCTAGCTTATGAATACAATTGTATCTGCATATGTACATATGTAGAGCCACGATTCTGCCTATTTATCGCTGACTCTTATGATTATTATTATATGCGGGTGATTATGGTGAATGAATTTTCTATGCTTTATTTTTGTGTGTTTTGTGTTTCAGTGGCGTTCCAGTCGAACAAATTAGAAATAATTGCGGCTAATTCCGTTCAATGTGTATCGCTGATTGTGAATCAACCTCCGGCTGGGATTGCACTCACTCACACTCGGACAATCGCACATTCACACTGATACTCTCATTCATTCTCACACTGACTCACTCGCACAGCAAATTAACCCCTTGAGTGGCACTCGGCACTTCGTTCGTCAAGTTGCTTTAATTGACTTTTAAATTTGCAAAAAATCAAAGCGAAAAAGTGTGACAAAGTGCCCAAAAAAGAATGGGTGCGAACGGGCATGGGATTGGGGAGGGATAGGGGCTGTGCGGCAGGGGAATCTCAGGACTGGACCGTGGGGAGAGGCGGAGGTTAGAGTGCAACTGAAACAATAACTGCACTCGTGCCGCGTTGTCGGTGTCGGCATCGAACATTTTCACACCTCAGACAATGCCCACGAGTGCCACTGAGCGGGAGTAGAGTGGACCGAAGGGTGGGGCACACTCAACTCGCCGGGCGGTCGTCCGCCCCACTCAATGAAGGGCGTTTGTCGACAATTTCTCTTTTTTTTCCCATTCATTTCTCATGTCGATTTTCCGCTCATGTCGTTGTTTTTGGGTGGTTTATTTTTTCTTTCTAATTTACGTCAACGCAAAATCAAAGCAAAGTCAAAAGACCATGCATGTCTGCTCGGGGCCTGGTCTATAAGGCGGCACCACAGACCGCACACATTGTCCGAATACCAGACCAGAGGAAAAACTACAATTAAGAATATTTTTATCATCACAGAGATGGGTGGATGTGGCAGGAGAGCGGAGCGGCAGGCGAACTGGCAGGCAACTGGGGCTATTAGCAAAGTGGCTCAAATATCAAAGGGCAGTCGATGTCACGGTTGGAACCGCTTTATGGCACCACTGACAAGCAGCAATTAGCAGCTCTGGAGCGGCGGATATGAGCTAACGATTCGATAACCATAAACTTTGGGGGAGTGTACTTCCTGCACTATCGAATACACGAGTTATCTGAGAGATGTTGCGATGTTGGGTCCAAGACATCAACTGATTGCTTTTATTCTGCCATTTTATTTAAAATCATGAATCTATTAAATACCACCAACAAAGAAAGAAAATTCGGACATTATTTATTGCCCAAGAACCTAACAGCAAATATAATTGACCGACTAATCGATTAATATAGAAGAATGAGTTAAACCATCTCTAGCTATCTGGCGGCGACTTGGCAGCCCACACACAATCCGCTAAATGGTTAATTTCGAGCCACAAATAATTTGCCAAAATATGCATTTGAGTGGGCAAAGGAAAGTCTATTGCTATCAATTTGCAATAACAAAATTTTCCAAATATATACATATCTACATACATACGTAGATAAGTACACATGTGCGAGTGTGTGGGTGTGTGTGGGTGAGTGCTTTGGTGTGTCGGCAAACACATCAAAACGACTGTCACAACAAAGCGAGGACGAGCGACAAGGAGAAGGAGAACCAAAGTGAAAATTGTCAATTAAATGCTGGCGAAAAGCAGAGAAAATCGTTTTCCTTTCTGGTTTATTTTTTTCTTTCTTTGTTCGTTGTTACTGTTGTAGTTGTTGTTGTTGTGGGGCAACCAATTTTCCGATTTGGTTTTCTCCTTCCGTCTGTCGTCGCTGGTAAAAGATCAAAGGCACTTAATGGCCACGTCGTGAGGCGCCAATTGGAAGCTTCACAAGCTTTTGCTTGGGGCACACTCTCTCCCCTTCTCTTCCTCGTGGCCCCTCCCGCTGCCCCTCGCACAGCTTAGCCTTAGCCGTGGCTGGGGCTGGGGCAGGAAATCCGCCCCCGAAAGCCATGCGAGAACTTGATGCGATTTTTTAATTGACGAACGGGGCCCGCAAATGGTTAAAAAATCAACAGGGAACCGAATTTGTTTGCTATATAAAGAGCAGAACGAGTCAACAATATGCAAAATTAAATACGATGACGCGAATGAAAAGGCACAAAGCTACAGCAATAACAGAACTAGCCACAAAAAGCGCCACTGCAGATTGCCTCGAATGGGGGATGCCCTAAACGAAGAGCGATGAGTCTAATAGATTTACACGTGGTCAATTTGAGAGCTAATGGGTAACAAATTAAGTTTGGCTAGTCTTACATGGGTTGTACATTTTATTCCAAAACTTAAAGTCAAGATCAAAGCACAACAAAAAATAGATAGAACAAATAAATATTTTACGAATCTATAGTTTTCGGACTCAGTTAGTTATTGCTATTACTATAAAGATTATATCTATCTATGGAACTCTCCACAAATGATATTCTTTCTGGTTCATGATCTTCCTATAAGCCAATATGCTTCACGAACACGACAAAGTTCTTTCCCACATTTATTAAACGCAAATTGCGAAGACGACGAGTCGGTGGAAATGTGCGATAAACGAAATAAAAATAAAAATACAATAATTAAAGTAAAGCAGAAACAGCAACAAAGCGTCGCAGCAGAAAAGAAAGCCCCCGCCATACGCAGAAAAAGGGTCCGGAAGTGGATTCGTGGATTTAGAAAAATGTAAATTTAAATTTAAATCGAAAACCCAGTTCGATATCCCTCAAATATTTCAAATGGAAATTGGCACAGTGAATCAGAGCAGACCAGATGAAGATGGAACTGGGGATGGAGATTGGAGATGCTGATGACGATGACGATGACATTTCAACGCTAATTATAATAAGAATAACAATAACAACAGCTGCTGCCACTTGAATCTGCAAGATTATCTTCCCCTGCTCCTGTCCCTGCCTCTGCCAGTGATTCTTCGTCTGTCACCGACTCTCCGGCTATATCTTTTTCCGTCTCTATCTCTCTCTCTCTTTCTCTTTCTCTTACTCCTTCTCTCAATTTCTGTGTTTGTGTCTCTGGGTTTGCTGTCATCGACTCGGCTTTGGGTGATATTGCCACTTGCTGCTGCCTCCGCAGTTGGCCCCGCCACTTGCAAATGAGCTTGAGACCCAGAGACAGCAGCAGGTCGACAGCAGCGGAGCCGTCTCAAGCCCCGACTCTGGCCCTTACGTGTATAGGTGTCATTGCCTTGTGCTGATCGTCGAACAAAGACGCCTCTACAGTGGCACCAGCGCAATGGGTAATCCACATAAATTAAGTTCAATGAGAGCAGCATTTACTATTACTCAACGCTGATATTAAATAACTACAGGCTGCAATCCATTCGCATATACAATTCTAGCAATATATCTGCAGTGGTGTTCGTCTTGGAAAAAACATTGGGAGGGCTTTCTAGCTGCTTGGAGTAATTTGCAAAATATAGCTACAATGTCATACAATTATAATGCATTTATGTTCATAACCTTTAAAGCATCCCATGAACTTTATTTATTCAGCAAACATACATTTGAAGATGTTGTCGTACATTTATGAATATTTTTCAATGGAACCGATGGGTAAATAAATCCAAATTAATATGTACGAAACTTTATCGATATATTTCTTAACAGCAGAAGTCGCGTAAGAACTCGAGGTAGGATGCTTATGCTCCCCAAAGCAGCCCTCCTCGTGTAATGATTATAGATATATAAACAATTACTTTCATTATTCGATTCTCATCCCACTGTACCACTCCACTCCGCGCTCTCTAACACACACACACACATGCAGCCGGAGCAGAGCAATTGCCATTGCAATTAGCAGCTCAACTTGAGTGCTGGTGGCGGAGGTGGCTGGAGAGGATGAGGATGCGGATGAGAGGGAGTGAAGTGGTGCTGGCCATCCGTTGGAGGCTGTCTACTGGTGGTGGTGCTGGGGGGAAGACTTATTGGGGCTAAAGCTGATTTGCTTCTCGATGGCCCGCTGATTAATTTCTTTTTTATGCTAACTAAGCGGCACTCAGCCACCTCTCCGCACACACAGACATACATCTGTGTGTGTTTACGTTTTTCTGCGTTTGTGTGTGACAGGTGACAGAACCAGTTGCGTTTGCTAATTGCGCTTAAACTTTGATTGTTATTGTAACTGCCGCTTTCGGGGGCAAAAGCTTGCTTGGGTTGTAGGGGGGGTTGGTGGTTGATCGGGTTCAGTGGCTTACCCTGCGCATGTAGCAGCGGGTGGTGATGGTGGTGGTGTGGGTGGTGGTGCGGCATTGGAGGCGGCGGCACACCAGTAGCTGCAGCCGCATGCGGATGTGGATGCCCTCCGTGCGGATGATGCGGCTGATTGTGGTGGTGGTGTTGATGCACTGCAGCGGCCAGCTGATGGGGCATAAAGGCGGCCGCCACCGCTGCATGGGCATTGAAGTAGGCCATGCGGGAGGCGGCTGCCATGGTCATTTGGTGGTGCTCCCTGTAGTGGTGGTGCTGCTGTTGCTGCTGCTGCTGCTGATCTATCACCGATGTCATGTTGTCACCCACTGCTCCACCTCCGGTTCCGCTTGCTGTGCCCGCTGTTGCTGTGGTTGTTGTTGCTACTGCTGCAACAGTATTATATGTTGCCACTGATGTTGTTGCCGCTGCTGCTGTTGTTGATCCACCTGCATCTGTGGTTGTTGCAGCTCCTCCTGCAGCTGTTGTGCTTGCTGTTGAAATACTTTTTGGCGATGGCTGGCTGCTGGCGGCTGTTGTCAAATCCGTTGGCGTCTCGCAGGTTGCCACCGTTTCTGTTGTGGTTGTTGCCGCTGCCGCCACGGCCAGTCCGAGGAGCTCCTGTATGGCAAAGGGCGAACGCTGCGGCATCGCTGCAGCTTATGTTTCCCTCGATTAATCGATTGGCTGGCTCTGCCTCAATTGTTGTGCTGCTATTTTAATGGAACATTTTCGGGGCTTTCCCCTAAACGAGAACTCCAGCTGGCTCTCTTTTCGCTCTCTGCCTTCGCGCGCTCTCTCTCTCTCTCTCTCTCTCCCTCTATTTCTCTCTCTTTCTCTCCGTGTGGCACTCAGTGGCTCCTTGGCACCAGAGGCCTAGTATGCCGGCCCAGAGTCCCGCTAAACTTCACTTGAACCTACGATGCGGGGACCGAGCACTAAAAAAATTTGATTGCTGCGAGATTGGCGATTTGCGAGATTTGTGGCACGCGTCGTTGTCGCTGTCGCTGTCGCAAAAACACACAACAAATTCGCAATAATTTCCACGTTAAACTGTTGCCTGACTTAATGTGCACCAGGAGTTTTGTCGTCGTCGTCGTCGTCGTGAAAAGCTAACGTTGCCGTTGCCGTTCCTGGTGGTTGGGCCCCGGCTAGAAGGCATTCAGCGGCACGGCCAACACACAACGGTAATCGGCTACCGCCACGGCAACGGAGCTGGCGAGGACCTGAAACCATCAACGCTGCCAGGCGGCAGGCAGCAGGCGGCAGAACATGCCACTGCCACTGCGCCACACCAGCAGCAGTAGCAGCAGAAGTAGTAGCAGCTGAAGTAGCAGCAGCAGCAACAGTCACAGCAGCGACAGCACTCTGGCAGCGACTGCGCTGCCCGGCAACGGTAAATCCAACGGCAACGTCAGGGGCGGGCTCAGTCGCGCGGCGAGCATCTGGTTGCACCGCTCACACAGCTGCGAGTGCGAACGGTTCGGCTAGAGTGCGCACTTCCCCTGCCCGACGGGAGACCAACATGGCGCATGTGCGAGACGCGCTCTGCCTGTGCCAGAGGAGAGCAGCAATGGTGGGCCCGACCAGCTAGCCGCGCTGCTCTCACTCATACAGAGACTTCCAGCTCACTGGAATACTTCCAGCCAGACTGCCATGCTTGTTGGTGTGGGTGCGCTGAAGTGAGTGTGTGTTGGTGACGCAGCTGCGAGTGTGTGCGGAACCCATTTTGTGTGTGGGAAGGATCGAAGCTCACAGCACGGGACTCTTTTTCGATGAAGGACGCCAATTTATAGTCCCAAAAACGAGTCGAGTCGAGTTGAGTCCGAGTTGCCAGTTGCGACACTATTCAAAAATATGTGCAGCTCTCTTTGGGTTTCTGCTGTGACATTTGCTGGCCTGTCCCTGTCCCATGTCCCATGCCCGCCATCCTCCTAACAATGGGGACCCAAAAAAGCAGTCTAATTAAAATTTTCCTACAACTTTTACTATTAAAATGCGTAAATTAGCATTTACACAGCCCGCTGTCGGGCTGTCGGAGTGTGTTTGTGTGCGAGTCTGTCTGTCAGTCCTGTCCGAATTAATGTGTGTGTGTGGAGCAGGAGGCAGAGATGGAGAGTCCTTGCTGCGCAGTCAGCAAATTTTAGAGAGCTACGGGAATTTGAATCGGAATTGCAAAATTTCGGGAATTGTTGACAAAAGCTGCAAGAAGGGAACAGGGACTAAAACAGAGCTTCAGCTTTCCCCCTCACCCGTGAAGTAATCGAGTTCAAGTTCAGAGCTGTTTATAGAGATATTACGATGTATCTTTGCTGTTCCGAAGGATCTCAGCTGGCGCTCTACAGATTTAACTGAAATTTTAGCTGTTTGTTGCTGTTTGCAACCTGAGAAAATTCAAAATATAATTCGCAAAAATTATTCGAAATTGTATGCTTCAAAGCAGAGACCAAACAAAAAGCCATGCAAAAGATTTTGCTTTGATATTATTACGCAGATTAAAGCTATTGCCCAAGACGCATCTAGAGTCGAAACAATGGGAATTAGAAAGCTTTGTTTGAGCGTATCAGCAGCTTGCCAATTTGGCATCCAACGGGTTTTTTCAAGCGGGGCTTTTCTCACGCCCCCATGTGTCCACATCTACGAGTATGAGGAGGAGGCCCACGCGCGAGCTTCTGTCGCAATTAAACAATTGAAATGCCAGAGCCCCTGCCATTCCCATGGTATTCATCGAATCGGATCGGATCCGTCGGGCCACGCAGTCTGCCAGCGATGCCGTCGGCGCAGGCGCGACGCTCTCAGCTCTCAGCGCTCTGGCGATGAGAAGTGCGTACTGGAGGAATGTGGCTGTGGTAATTCGATATTTTGTGAGCAGGTTGCAGGATCTCTCGAGAGGCTGATGATTCATGCGAGAGCGTAGCCTGTTTTTCGAGCGAATTCGTTTATTTACAGGAATTTGATTGTTAATTAACTTGCAATTACAATCGCAAGGGAAATGTGTTCGGGGATCAGTGGATCTCCGATCGTTTGGCTGTCAAAATAAATATTGAATTTCCCCCCCCCATGGCCGATGGGCGATTAATGATGATTATGCTGTGAGCAATTTGTCCGTAATACGATATCTTATTTTGGCATAGTTTCTCTAGTTTTTCCTTGCACATCCTCTGCAGCTTCCCACCTGGCGGCCATTGGCTACAGTTTTTCCCTCTGCCACTCACATTTGCTTTGTTTTTGTTTTTGTTTTGCTTGGCCCTTGGCTTGGATTGTCCTTCAAGTTCCAAGAAGCTCTGTCCCGGATTCCACCTTCTTCATTGTTTTGCAAATATTTTGACGTGCGATTCTCTCACAAAACGAGAGCGAGAGACGACACGGAGACACAGGGAAGGACGGACAACAGCTCGACTACCTGGCGACTGTCGGTCTGGGGTTTGGGGTCTCTGGTTCTGGTTTGGGTTCTGCTTCTGATTCTGGTTCGGGCAGTGCTCCCGATGCCTCCATGCTCCATCCTCCATACTCCATGGCCGATGGATACCGGGTGCCCTGTCTGGAGCTGCGAACTGCTTGAGCTGCTCTTCACATTTCTGGTAGTTGACATGGCCCACCAAATGATTCAATTATGACGATTGAGGCCCGCCGCTCAAGTGCGAAAGTTGACCAAAATCCCCAAATCGATGCCGAATCCGAAGTGTTCGAATGTCAATTAAGTGTCGAGATTTATTTACTTAACTATTATTGTCTTGAGACACAATCAAAATTGGACAAACTTAATTATGAACAATTAAAGTTCAGTTACTTTTTGTGTAGGTTTCCTCCTCTCCTCTCCTCTTCTCTCCTCTCCGATTTACAAACACTTTTACCACCCGATTATTTTTGGGCAATAACTTCAGATTCGAGTGATGGCCAACAGACAGGCCCCATCGAGGGACGCCTTCAAGAGAGCCGTTGTAAGACTTGCCAAAAACCAAATACATACACATCTACCGAGGTAAATAAATAATAATAACAAACAAAAAAAACAATACACACTAACAATGTTGAATCGAATCGCACAAAACTTAACAGCCAGCAACAATTGTTTCTGCACATTGTTGTGTAATTAAGTTGTTTCGCTGTCGGCCACAAGTGCGTTGAACAAATCTTGTTAACTCTTCGACTTTTAGATGGGGAGGGGTGCTGTGATGTGGCTGTGTATGGGTTTGGTGATGGTATTGGATATGGTGTTGTTCAGGAGGGGAGCTCAGACAATGTTATTGTCACACAATTGTTGCCGTGTGATTAGTTGAAACTTTAATTGCCGCACAATGGCATAATAATAACGATAATGGCCCAAAGTCCCAATGCCTAAACGACGCAAAAAATAACCCAAAGAAAAAATAATGAAAAATATATAGCTGGAAATAAACGAAATTTGAATCCTCTAAGCGGAGGAAATGATGCGATAACTTTGGGGTAAAATCATTCGAATTTAAAGCTTTCTTTGGCATTATAGACAGCTAGTCTATAATACGTAGAATCTTCACCTTTTAGAGCTGCATTTCAATATTATTTTTTTGTTATTTTTAGTGCTGTCGCTATTTGGCATAGGGAAATCTCAACTTTTTGTGCATGGAAGCCTTCCATTTCGAGTGCCTTCTTCTCCATCAATGCGCAAAAAAAGAGACATACCTTGGGAAAGGGTATACCAAATGGTGGGGGCATGGCATTCTGTATTAGCCCTGAATTATGATCGTCATTATATTATTACTATTATTTATTATTGTTAATGCTGTTGGTGGTACTCTTACTATTGTTACCTTTGTGTTTAAACTGATTTCGAGCTTAGTTTTCAATTATTTAATTCTCTATTTTGGGCTATTGCCCCCCCCTCCGCAGCGTCTCTGTCTCTCCTTGGGTCGCGTGGGTAACGTGAGAAAATTAATATCTGCCCATGATTGGGTATGAGGTGAATGAATCGAAAAGTTTTCGCTTTCTTATCGGGAATCAGTTTCCAGTTCCCTGCTCACAGAGGGCGCCACTGAGCGCTCCTTTTATGGCTAATTTTCGCGCCCGAAGGCAATCAACGCCAATGCGACTGGTTCGTGTCTCCGCTAAACGCTGCATATAACTCCGACCGCAATTAGGAAAACTTTTGATTCCTTCGTTTAATTAGCAGCTAGTAAATGGTTTTGTTTTGTTTTGCATAACTAAATGTCTAAATTACAATACATTTTAGTAACTTTTGAGTTGATGTTGATTTTGGCAATACCCTGCAGAAATGTTCCCTGAACTTTTCAAAATGTCTGTTGTCTTTGCCCACTGCCACTAATCCCTGGCTAAGTCTGCAGTTTCCACACAGTGATTTCTTAGATTAACAGCTATATATGTTAATAGGATTATCTGCACTAATTTCCATTCAGTGAGGTGTGAGAGACGAAACTGTTGGAAATACTTGATCATTTGTATGGGGTGAAGTGCGAGAGAAAAGTGATTTATCATTTGAGAACACTTGAGAGTGAGGATGCTCTGACAAGGGTTGGGTTTGGGTTGCTTCGTATCTGGCCTGGAACTGGTACTGGTACTGGTGCTGGTACTGGTACTGTGACTTGGCTTGGGCTTGGGCCTGTCTTTGGCCCAATGTGTGTGCTACCGAAGTGGCCGAAGAGTGTGCTCGACAATGACGACGAACCAATTTATGGGACAGGCCGGGCAGACAGACGACGGGCACTTGAGTAAACCGAAAGGCAAACACTACACCAAGAGAGGGATAGTGATGGATAGGCTGAGGCACTTGGGTGAGCAAGGGAGTGAGAGAGAGAGAAAGAGAGAGCGGAGGTGTGATTAGGGGTGGTGGCGGCTGTTTCCAGTGGTGGTTGCCGCTGCCCGACTGCCTGCTGGTGGTTGTAGTTGCTCATGAGGTAAATTAGAAAATAAGCAACAAAAAATGCAAAGCCAAAATAAATTAGTAGCCAACACACCAACACAAATAAGGGGACGGAACGGTACGGTACGGATAACGGATCGCGAGGGGTGTCAAATCCAAAATGGCCGAACGAAAACCGACAACTACAACAACGAGAACAACGGCAACGGCAACGTCAACTCTTGAATTTCAATTGAAGTGTAACAGAAGAAGTAGCCAGCCGAGGGCCGCCGCTGGGTCTGGAGCGGCACGCAGGCATCTGCATAATAGTACCCTCGATGGCCGTCACACTGAGAGAAACGTGTGAGTGCTGCAGTTGGAGTATTTTATTGCAAAGGCAAATGCCAAAACGAA